TGCAATACCGACTTATTTCTTACCAAGCAAAAGTAATACATTAGTTTATTAAGAAGTCGTAACCGATCATTGAATTGTTTTCAATGTGATATTTATGGCAATTTCAATATTGATGCATCTATATACATTTATAAAGTATTGATTACTATAGTAATACTGTAACAAAAATATCTTTTATGCTGCATCTTCTTTACCCGGTTATATAATCAGTACAATTAAAACGGATGCTGATAACATGTATAAGGAACCGTGTCTTGTTTTATAGACCTTATTCATAAATATATATCAAATAGTTTAGCAGTTTAGCTAGATCAACTGCATCGCCGCTTTACTGGGAGATTAAAATAGTGACCGCCACAATATCTTTACTAAAACCTGGTCGCAATGATCGCCGGAATAGAGTCACGAACATTCTCAACAGCCAGTTTATAACAGTTTATACCTGTGAACCACATATATAAATCATAACTCATAAGTGTTCTCTAGTTTACATAATCACTCCGCATATTTTCAGTTCTAACTAATGTTATATTTCGGCTGATGAGAAAGATCGTGACTCAATCTTTACGCCATATGGAAACCAGGCTTAATCAGATGCACGGTCTATAGAAATGACAAACCCTTTATAGTTCAACTATTGTATATATTGTTTACTTTTACTGTATGAGTAGTAAATCCTTGACCTTTTTTAGACTGTTTAATAAATAGTTCATATTCATTTAGTTGTAGAATAAGGACAGTACGGTCAGTACCATTCTTCAACTTATGTTGGATTTAAGTTAAAGTACGTGCATGAATACGTGATATGTTTATGTGATATGAAGTTTTCGCGTCTATTTTCAAGGCTGTCGGAAGTAAATCAATATTGGGAGGGGAGAGAAGGCTCAATAATTTATCCGTATAGTTTGTATTGCTTTCGCACTTTTCTTGTTCTCTTGTGTGTTTTGCTAATATCCAAATGGAAATTATTGGGGGCCCTCCCCTCCCGCTTCCGACGGCCTTGATTTTTTTAATCAAGGTTCGAATCATATATGGGGTAAAGCATAGGCGTCTACAAAACAGGGGGGCTATGTGCTAAAATATGTTAAATTCAGGTTATTTCATTATAATCCTCTATAAAAATGCAGGCAAAACTTTTCAATTCCCCGTCTCCCCCCCCCCCGTCACTAGGAAAACATCAGCCCATACACCCTGTTCTGCGCAGCGGCAGCCAAAATATTCCATTTCAAGTTAAACAGTCGCGGACATACACCAGGATGGCATGATCATGAGCTATATAGTCGGTAAATGTAACAGATATATATATATATATATATATATATATATATATATATATATATATATATATATATATACACTCTAAAAACACTCTGGTTAAATTTGGGTTAATTCAACCAGGATGGGGTTAAAAATCTACCTACACAATCCTGGTTAAAAAAATTAAACCATTTTCCTGGTTAAAAGTCCAAAGAAGTATGGCCAGATTTTTGTTGAATCAATAATTTTTAACCAGGAAATTAGTTAATTTAACCAGGAATGTGCTAGGTAGTTTATTGATCCAGTTCCTGGTTGAATTTAACCAGAGTGTTTTTAGAGTGTATATATATATATATATATATATATATATATATATATATATATATATATATATATATATATATATATATATATATATATATATATATATATATGTCTGATTAATGCATGGGGTTGGTTTATTGTTCAGTGTTTTCCTGTGTTATAAAGGAGCTAAAATTTTCACTGATTAATGTAATAATGTTAGAGAAAACGTGAGATTTTACTTTTAAGCTGCCAAGTTGACTTTAAGTTGACATTTTAGCGTTATATATTGCTCTATATAAAATCAAGTGCCAAAACTTTTAATCAGCTTAATGTTATTGAAGTACCCCCATGACATCTATAGACCCTATATTGGTCCAAATAATTTTCCATTGTCGAAGTTGGACGCAATAGATAAGCCAAATAGAAACCACGCGGGATTAAGGATTCATATTATGAAGAGGAGTTTTTTGTATACAGCTATTTCAATTAAGGTTGTCCACGAGCAAAGCGGAAAAGTCGAATACGAGCGCGAAAGGCTGCTGGGAATCGCTAACAAATTAATGAATTTTCAAAGCGGATCCAAGCAGCCTTTCGCGCTCGTATTCGACTTTTCCGCTTTGCTCGTGGACAATCTTAATTGAAATAACTGTATATGCCATACATGCACGCGCTCAACACTAATGAGTTATTTTGCATTTGCGGATATGAGTATATATACATTCAAAATTTCTATTTTTCGATACGTTTTTGGCAAACAAACTTAAAAAGTACGTTTAGTGTTTTATCTGTAAAATAATGCTAAAATCTAGAGATTTTGCCATGATGTCTGAAGTTCAGTAATTAGTTTTGCTTATATATTGCTGCAAGATGGCGTTTGTATTTTAATTGACAAATTTTTCCTATTATTTTATGTTTCTCAACCGATTTAGAGAATAAAGCTAAAAAAAAAGCAATTTTGAGAGGTACGCCAAAAAGATTTTCGGTTCAGCTAGTTGAAGACTTTCCATGGCAAATATATACGTGACATAGAAAAAAATAACCTCTTAAATATAAAGGCTATAAAGGTTAATCCAGTCAACTCGGAACTGAATTAAACTGTGCACAAACAAGCCCTGAAACACTAGCTAGCTTCCGAAGGTGTTGTTTTGACTTCTGCATGTCTGCGCCCTGTTCGTAATATGCTACAGTTTTTAATTATATTGATCATTGGAAAAAAAATAATATCATAATTGTACCATTCGGTATGGCAGCTCATCAAGTATAACCGGTTCTTGGATCTCTAATTCTTTAAACAGTTAATATTCCTAGCAATAGCATCACTCAACAATGAATAACGAGTATATGTGATGTGTGGTAAACTGATTAAATATATTTTCCGAATGATATAGGGAAGACAAACTAGAGTGAGTTCCCAACACCTGCCTTATTTGACGTCCGGTCCTAAATGTTCTCTAAACTAAGCTACCTATAAATATAGTATGGGCCGTTAATTAAGTGACTTTTAATATCAAGTCAAATACATGATATGTGAGATTGGAAAGTATATAACTGAAGTCGAGACTGTCGAGTATATGAAGTTCTAAAAAACTTTCCATGCACTCAAGGCATCAGTGACTGCTCATAAATCAAGTCTGTATAATTTCATGACTCTTTGTCCTTTAACAATTGTCAATGCTATCATGCTTACGGAAACGCATCTTTCCTTTTTTTGAAGAACATTTTCATTCTAAAATCGTCAAGCAACTGAAACAAGGCCAGGCCGTACAAACAATAATTGCATGAATGCCTATAATATATCTAGTATATAGTCTATAGATTATAGTGAAACATAGTCTCGTCTGACTGCATGTTAATGACAAAGAGAAACTCTTAGCACAGTCAGAATGGCGCATTAAAATGATTAATTAACAATAGGGGATAAATTTAAACATTATACAGATTAATATCTTAGCTATACATATACGTCTGTATACGATGAATGATTAATATAGTATACCTGCAGCTTGCACTGTCAGTTACGGCTTCCTGCAATGAGTCACTCGATTGCTTAATCAAGTGAAATTTCCTTGCCAAACTTCAGTACTTTCCTTAGTGGTTTGGCACCCCAGTGTTCAGTCTTCTGCGTGTAGATGATAACTGATGATACTCTATAGCGACTGCATGAACAAGTATTCACTAGGCAGAACTGAAACTATTTTAATTGTAAGACTTTTATATACTTAGTGTATTATATATGAATACGTATACTATAATTCATAAATGGAGAAATGCCAAAAACGTTAAAACTGAAATTGAAATACATCAAATGCATGTTAACATATGGGTAAGGTCATTGGTTTTTCGGTCTCACGATCTAACCGGATGGCCACAAACATACACGGCAGTTTAGATTGATATGTATCAAAACCTGAATCTTTGGGGTATATATGTACGCGGTGTATGTTTTTCTACATTATGTTACAGGTCATGCCTGCAGGATATAAATCGGATGCATCCCATTCATGCTACTAAAAGTTAATAGTCTGTAAGGACGCTTATTTTCAAAATATGTTTGACATATTCATATGTCTGTCTGTATAAAATGTAATAATTTATCATATATATAGACACCTACATGCATGGCCACAAGGCTATGATATTAACAATTCATTAGTTATCGTATATTTGTGTGTTCCTCCTCTGAAGCCAAAAACCCGGCTATATAAATATAAGATAACGTTGAGCAAGCCATCATGGTTTCACTGATTTGAAAACTGAACTCAAACGCCAAGCAAAACGGTTGAGTCACAGACTCACAGTCGAGGAGCGAGTATAAGACCATCCACTGATCTGAACAGACCTGGCACTCGGGAATTGCCTCACACGGAGTCAAAATGTGTTCTCGCATATAAACGGCAGTATGCTAGAAAGACCGCTATATTGAATCACTTTACATATACTGTCTGTTACAAATCTAAATAATATAATGATTGTGCTTACCTAAAACTATCTGGCATCATGATCCTGTCAGATCAACGTTTATGTGTATAATGAATTGAAAATGTTTATGAAGAGGGGGGTGCAACTTATCTTATATGATTGATCTGTTTAGATATATAACTTGAAGTGGTTTAGGGCCAGTCTATAATAACTATATTGTAGTATTGTTAGTATACCACACGAATACTGCACTATTCGATATGTTATATCTTTCTCGAATTTTTCGGCTGATCATCACTCATGCATCAGTATATTTGTACATGCAGTACTGTACACATCATGCATGAAGCACGATAATGGATATATTAATGCTGCGCTTTTCTTTGTTTGTGAAATAAGCTAATGCAAATCATGCAAAAGAGGGTCTAGATGGGGTGGTACCCAAAACAGTAAACATTAGATTTTTTAGTAATTTAACAGTAACAGTAAAAAAATTCACATAACAGTAAAATTTTGCTAATTTCATGAAGACATATAAAAAACCACTTAATTATATGTGGTCACACAAAAATAAATTAAGTTTGTATTAGGGAAGCAAATGCACAGTCGTCTAAAGCCTGCCGCACACGAGAGCTATCTGCTGAGCAAAAAGTTACTCGTGCCTGTTAGCTCAGCCGATAGCTCACCGTGTGCGGGTACATTTTACTGAGTTTTTTGCCTCATGCAACCTTTTCTCACGTATCAAACATGTTTGATCGGTGAGCTATCAGCTGAGCTAACAGGCACGAGTAACTTTTTGCTCAGCAGATAGCTCTCGTGTGCGGCAGGCTTAAGGCAGCGTTTACACTGTACCGTTTTCGTAGCGTTCTCGTATTGTTCGAGAGAACTAGACTATTGTCTTGCGTTCCCTTAAGGATTAAGAACAATACGAGAACGCTACGGAAACGGTACAGTGTAAACGCTGCCTAAGTCTCTAAGACCATCAAAGACACACCAGGCCCATAGGTGCTGGGCAAGAAGACCTGTAAACACACTCTGACAGCGCTTTTAATATAGTTTCGTATTCTTTTGTCTGAAATTTAGTAGTTTAAAGCCCTTTTTGAAATGCATTAGACTTTTTATAGTAATTACAACATTTTAGCTGCTAAGTCTTCCATGACAGTCAACAACAAAATTTTTAGCGTTTCAACATTAAACACTATAGAATATGGGCCTTCAACACTTAACATTAAACCCCATCTAGACTTTCGCAAAAGCCAATACACTATAATGTATGTCGTTTGTACAACTGCCGTGGAATACAAATAAACAACTTATAAAGAAATTTCTAACATTTGAATGATCTTTTTCAAGGTTTAGCACGGTTTTTGTAAAATATTCCTGCATAAGAGTCTCTAACAAGACTTCGCATACCAGTTTAGAACAAGGCATACGTGATATAGCTTTTTTATTAATAGACTTTACCGGGGTTTTTTGCACTTTTGCCCAAATGGCTTCATTTCCATGTTTTCCTCGTGTAGCTTGGCAGGCGCGCATGAAGGTTATATCCCCATGTTTCGTCACGAATATGTTTCTCTTTGATCTTTGTGATCCCAATCGAACACAGAATGTCAAATCCTTAATTCACATGCATTCTCCAAGAAACATGAAGATAAAACCACATGAAAACGAGGGCAAGTGGGGCAAACACAATAGCGCAACAACCATAGAGATCATAAATAACACTAGAGGGGGCATTGAGGGTGAAATTTGGGCCAAATTGAAATCCCGGATGAACACCACACAATTCTTGGGTTACACGTGAAACCAGAAAAATGTAAAACAAGAGTCACAAACTGGGTGTTTTATATGTTTTGCATGTCATTACTACAAACATTCCCCCAAAATTTCGAATTCAAACGATTAATTCCTCTTGAAAAGATGAAAATTGCTCACATCAGCAAAAATTGCTGACATCAGCATTATTTTGGAGCGCTCTCAAAAATGTGTTATAGACAAAATTGAGGTAAAAATGCTTGGTAAAAATCAAAACGGAACTACTTAACTGCCATAAACAAGAACTTAGAGATTTTGGTTCAAACTCGCTCTTATTTTAGTATTTCATTTAAATCCCCCCCAATAGCCACGTTCCCTTTCTTTGACTGAATTAAAATTACGATGCCTCCTCTAGTGTTATTTATAATCTCTACGGCAACAACACCATTACTCTTGGCAATGCCAATGGTCGCGAACTAATATTTAGCCCCTCCTCCAGTCCCCCCGGGGGACTAAAAAAAGGAAATACGATACATGCAGTCATGCATGCATTTAAATTCGAGATCATGGGCCAGTTGTTCGAAGATCAGCTGGCTTAATTCTAGATAACGTATAAAACTTCAAATGTGTCTGAACCTAAAAATATTTTTCCACAAATCTTGTCTTGAAAGTTTTATCTTCCACTGAAGTTTTGAAATATAAATGGCGTGCAGAAATATACACAAACCGAATCGAAATAATCAGGTTAAATTTTAACCCTCGAACAACCGGCCCCCTGTAACTATATCTAACTATATATGGCTCATACTGCAGCGTATATATACATATATACTTACAAGAAAAATCGCATGAGCTGACTATATCGTCGACGTCTGTCTATATACAATCATTTATTCACGAGTTCACTCATTTCTAGTGTTCCTACCAGTTTACCTGTGTCTAAAAGGAACAGGTTTTGTTTCTTACGTAAATGTCCAATTATAAAAAACTGAAATTTGATTGGTTGCATGGTAAGATTACATGCATGCTAATGGAGATTTTATATTTAATTATGCAGAATAGTTGTTACGGATGTTACGAAAAGTCGGAAGTTTATGATGTTTATCGCAAGGTCTGTTGAGGCTAATTTTTTTTGTTATTCCAGGCACACGTCCTTATGGAACCATTACTCGCATTATAGTTGTTCTGCATATGACGATATACATTATGTGAACAATCACTAAATGAATTGATGCCGTTCAAAATTAAATTGGCAGAAGACTGAATTTCAGTAAAATAATACGAACTCAAGTCTCAAGCCAGATGCATATATACATTTATATAGCTAGGAGGGTGTAGATCAGAGGGTGTAGATAAAAGGCGGACGGATAAAAGGCGGACGACGGACGGCGGAACATTTTATAAACACATGCATGATTACTACCGCAACTAATTATAATACCCTAAATTAAAGTATACCAGCCTTAGATCTGTGAAATGAATATGTTTTCACCCGTTCGAATTTTTAGCAATGGTATTTTTTGATCAGCATTCAACTACGTATGTATGATAGGCTATTCGCCGTCTTTCGCGTGAAACTTTGGAAATATTGTAAAAAAAGCGCCTTAGTTTTGGTGCTTCTGTGTATAACTACCCTAACACTGCCATTGAAGTAAAATATTATTAGGCGGGGCTATTACATGACATTCACTTGCTGTCATTTTCATACTCTAAATTGTGCTGACTTGTTTTTTTATAATGAAAATAATCCGCGTTTTACTTACTAATGAAAACAATATTTTACGAACGAGCGCAGCGAGTGAGTAAAATATTGTTTTTAACACGAGCAAAAAATTGTATAAATACCAAAAAAAATTGTATAAATCCCAAGCAAAAAATTGTATATATAATTACTAAAATCGGCGGATTTGTATACCCCTATTCACCCCTTTATAAAAAATTCTCATAAATATATCACGATCCATAGCTCAGTTATACTCAATATATACCTACTATCTATATCATATATGTGCCCATGCACGAAATAAAAAAGTCGTTCAAGAGCCTTGAATGACAGAAACTGATATCGAGCAGCATTTATTTAGAAGTTTTAAAAAATTATTGGGCTCAATGAAAATCTACCCCATCAAATGGTCCGCCCCTATATAATACATATTATTTTCTAAAATCCATGATATAGAATAGTCGTCGCGGTTCGTCGCATGCAAATCGGCTATTTCTACGTGTGAGCCTCTTGAGGTTTATAGTAAAACGGGGATTATCATTTCAGTTCATTATAAACTAAACAACAAGTCAAATAATGCATTATTTAAAGTAGGAAAATGTCAGCAAGTGAATATCATTTAATTCTGCCTAACAGAAGCTCCAAATTCTGGCGGAGTGGCGGTTGAGAAACACAAACTGAATAATTAAATATTGTATTGATGCTGTATTTGTAAGATTAACACCATACAGCAAAGTAAGCAAAACGTATAGCTACTGAACTTCCGACATCATTTTCTCTTTGGCGTACCATGCATCTAAAATCTTCTTCATTTTAGCATAATTTTACAGACTGTATGAAGCACTAAAGCGGTCTAAACATACTTTTTAAGTTTGTTTGCCGCTTGAGAAACGTAGTAAAAATTAAAGTTGAAAATAGTCATAACCAAGTGGGAACGTATATTCATTAATAATATATAGAGCTTTAGATTTATAGCGGTGCGACTATGACTACGACATTCGTTTATTTGGATGCGCCATATTCTTACGCCAGCTGTGGCCAAATTGACCGAACGGATGGCGTTTTGCGGAAAAGTCTTCAAAGTAAAACAAGCACCGACTAATTAACTATACGAGATAATGGCGTGTGTATATAGGCCTACGTATATAATGTCGTATGATTAGAAGATGGCGTTCATGTGCAAACAACGAATTTCGTAGTCGTATACGAGTAGTAAAATCTAAAGCTAATATTTATAGTCTTGAGCGCGCGTGTTATACGCCGTAGCATACAAAAGATTTTCCTCTTAATATAATCATGCATGCAAATCCAACAGGATGTTTAACCAAAATTATAATAGCAACAGGGTTTCTCATCTATAAAAAGACTATACCTGTACACAGAAGCAGCTAATTTTTTGTATGTTTAGACATGCATGATTTGGTCCGTATTGCATGGGTATATATATATATATATATATATATATATATATATATATATATATATATATATATATATATATATATATATATATATATATATATATATATATATATATATATATATATATATATATATATATATATATATATATATATATATATATATATATATATATATATATTACTGATTAACTGAAAATGTATAATATATATTTGGTTACCTTATCAGAAACTATAATCCTTCGGCTTCCCTTCGAAAGAATGTCCGCGTATGTTGGTGACTGAATTTTGATAGGTTAATTAACCTCATGCAGTGCAAACTACTTTTATGGTTATCTGCATATATTGTATATCACTATACCTGCCTCCTCCGCAGGCCCTTACTATTTGTAGATCAGTGTATATATAGACATATCAGTTTAATATATAGGTCAGTGGCTGAACAAATCTGTTGTGATGCA